TAATATTTTAAATACTAGTATAATTGATCATGACTTCTGTATTGAATCAAAGGTCACCAGATCATATGACCTGTGATGTCATGTCATCAGATCTTACACCACAGATATTGTAGAGGAACAGAACGGAAGCTTCTTTTTTATTCAGATTTGATTTATAGGCTCATCTGGAACAAAGTACCAGTGTGAACTAATGTGGTGGTGCTTCATCTGTCGTCGTCCCTGTCGTCCATCAAATTTCACGTTCAATGACATTTCCTCCCTAAATGTTGACCAGAATTTAACTGAATTCTAGCATTTCTAGGCCAAGGCGATCAAAAGATTTAAAATGTAGTGTCTGACCCCCTACCTGCGTGCTGAGAGACTGGGCCCAAAGGAATTAAATTGTCTGATTTACATTAAATGACGTCTCCTTATATACCCCCAGCAACGAAGTAAGGGGGGTATACTGGAATCACCCTGTCCATCCGTCTGCAGTGACTTGTCCTGAAAACTCCATTTTAACTAACAGGCAGATTTTATTGAAACTTCACTTAAATGACCAGTTTATTATGTAGTTGTGCATCAGCATTTTAATTTCATATCGCAACACTTTTTAAGGGAGTTACGGCCCTCTATGCGAAATAACTTGTCCGGAAACCCAAAGGTCAAGGTCACTTAATGATGTATAAACTACCAGCATCTGCGGGTTTAAGTTATCCTCCAGATGACAGTTCTAGTTAATTACTGTGTAGATACCGACCAAATTGTAGTGGTAGCATACTTCACTCATTGGGATAATAAGTTATACAAAATAAAAGAGCTGAAACCTTAGGGGTTTATGGTTTTGATTAAAAGGGGTCAAATTTGAAGATTTTCTTTAAATGACATCTCTTCCTTGGGAAGGCTTTAAATAAATTGTTGTGATAGTGTCTGTGGCTCATGGGGGTCTTAAGTAATACAAATAAAGGGTCTGCCTTTCTTGGGGCTCTGGACCCAAGCTTCTCAGCACATTTCAAGTTGATTGCCCAGGAATAGCCAGATGAGCGATTCAAGACCATCGGGCCTCTTATTCTGTAATGACTAAGTTTCTTCATTCATGAGGCATTGGATTGTAACAGAGGTCTATTTTTTAATACAATGCTTTCACTAGGGTTTGAACCCAGAACCACTGACTTACTAGTCTGACCTTCTGCTGATTGGGCTAAAAAGATATTCTCTTAAGCTTATTCAGGAGCATGCCAGATCAGTAAAACAGAGGACCCAGGTTGATTTCTAGCAGAAGCATATTATTGGAACATAGCATAATGTAATGTTGAAAGCATTTTTCCAGTGATTAATTCTATTTGACAGCTTAAAATAATATGTTTTGTGTTGTCATACTAAATTTATTTATGACGTCATGATCATATATATTTATCAACACTCTTTTGATTAGAAATGGTAAAACCTTTAGTATTTTAAAAATAAGTCAATCAAGTTAACTAACCACCAATCATTGGGTAAAATATATGTTACATATCATGACAAGGTTTCTTGTCTGAGCTTGAAACATCATTTGGTAATTTTAGTTGAATGAGTATTTAAGCCTTATATAATGGTAGTTATTGCCATCTTTTGTGTTATCTTAACTGGTTACACATTTTTTCTATGATTGGTAAAAGATCAGTTGATTTATTATTTGATACTACCATTAATTCACTCATTAAACTCTTCCTTTACAAATTATTCTTCACAGTATTCTAAAGTAAATTGGAAATGATTCTCTGACTTATAGATTTAATAGCCATATTGGTTACGTTCTAACATATCGATTTCATATAATTAAGACTTTTCAGCCTATATTTCTTTTTTTATATACAGAAACAACCAAAGCAAAGATCAAAAAAGAAAAAGAGGAGAAAAAATTCTACCCCACCAAAGGTTTCTGTGATGCTAAAGACAAGCTCCAAAAGAACAGGGTTGTTGTCATCAAAGGAAACACGGGAGACGGTAAAACAGCAATCGCCGTTCAACTCCTTCATTGGCTGAGTCGGGAGCAAGGAGCCGGACAACCCATACAACTTCACAAGATTAAGAAATTAGATTTATTGGCTCCAAACTTAAAACTGATCACTTTTATTGATGATGTTTTTGGTGAGAAAGATGTGTGTAAAAAGGATGTACAAGAGTGGAACAAAAGAGTCTCAAATGTAAAAACACTTTTTCTTGATGAGCAAACAGAGACCAATTTTCTCCTCATTACTGTTCGCAATGAAGTATTCAATTCTTTAGAAAAACGTTCTTTGGGAACAATTTTTACCAAAGACAACTTAATTGATCTTAGCTCTGATACATACAAAGTTGAAGAAGAGAAAAAAGGACTATTAGAGCTGTATAAGCCAGAAAACTTTTCATGGACAGACAAAGAAAAAACACAAATTTTAACTTGCGCACCAAACATTGGATTCCCACAATGTTGCCAGCTTTTCTGCAATTCTAAAAAATTGCAGAAAGAACGAGTGAGATTTTTTGAAAATCCTTTTCATTTCTTGAATGAAGCATTGACAAGATTAGAAGAATGTTCTGCACTTTTGTTTCTCTTCCTCAATAATGGTATGATAAGTGTAAAAGATCTGGATCCAAACAGTCAAAAAGTCAACCTAAAATTGCTGGAAGAAGCTTTTGATCTCAATTTAATTGATGGTGAAAATGACAGTACCAAATTGACATATAAGAAAAAAGTAGGATGTGTAAAAGAAAGTTTAGAAAAATTGTTAGGATTTCTAGTAGTGAAGGAGAAATATTGGTGGTCTGGTGAGGATGTGTACAGATTTAATCATGATTCTATTTATGTTGCTGTGGCACTTTTGTACGGACAAGTCACACCGATTGGCTTCATACAGAATTGTCCCAGCGAATCCCTCAGTTATCTAACAACCTCAAAAACAGCTACAAACATGATTGTCATATCATCTGATCAGTATACAGAAATGTGTGAGCGTCTACTCCGAGAGTTTGAATGTGAGGAGAATCGATATGGTACTAGTATTGGCTCTCTAGATGTATGGAATGATCCTGTATTTGTTAAAAGATTTGTCAGGTTGTTGAATGACAGAAAAGTTGACAAACTTGATGTGTTGAAAAAAGCATGTTGTTCTGGTGCAGAAGAATGTGCTTTATATCTTCTGTGTGCGGGAGTAGAACCTGACGAGGACACAGTGTTTAGTGTGGTGTGGGGAGGGAGTGTGAAACTGTTACGTAAACTACTGGAGTATAACGTCACCCCTACAGCGAGGAATGAGTACAATGACAATGTCCTATATAAGGCGTGTTGGTATAGGAGAGAAGAGATGGTGACGTTGTTATGTGACACTTACCCACACTTGGTACATGACACTGATTGGTGTGGACAAACCCCGCTCTATGTTGTGGCACGGACAGGAAACTGTTCTATGTTTCAGACAGTGGAGAGGTGTGTACTTAACTCCTTATATAGAGTTGATGACCAACAACACAAGTGTGAGTCGGTAAATGGTCGTGTGGTTCATAGGAACTGTGTGTGTGCTCAGTACATGGCTCAGTTAGTGGATGTGTACAGGGGGAGAACGGCGTTCCATGAGAGTTGTAGGCGGGGTAACAGGGAGGTTTGTTTATATTTATGTCGGTCGTACCCAGCACTAACTACAGCTGTAGATAATGACGGCCGCCATTGTCTACATTACTTAGCTTGGTATACATCAGATGTAGACTGGTTCACTGAGTGTGAATCTCATGTTAAACAATACCTAGAGTCTACAGGACGTAAGTATGACATCGCAACCATACTTAACAATAAAGGGAAATCTGTTTTAGACGAAGCGAAGGAATGGGCGAAGGAAAGGGCGGAGTACTGGGCGACAGAAAACAACCCTTTGTTAGATCATCTTATTAAAGTGTTTGGTAAATAAAAATGATACTGATTTCTCAATGAAATGTACAATTATAATCAACACAAACCTTTTAAAACAATCCTGTGCAAAGCTCATGTCATGATGATTTGTTTTGACGAGCACATTTTCTCGGTAAATATTATAAATCGTGATGAGTTTTTCAGTCCAAATTTGCCGATCTTCTTTACGATCCGTAAAAATATGGCCCGGGGGTGTCTGTCCTCTTTGAGGTGCGAGATTTTGTGGGTTTTTGGGGAAATACTGAGTAGATCATGTCGGGGTTTTAACTGGGGTTGAAGAATTAAAAAATTATCATGTTTTATGT